TATATAGAATAGTGTTGTTTATTCTTGTTTTAAGTATATAGTTATCTGGGTAATCTTTGGTAACCGCTGGCGATAAAGGCGTAGAGATGATACGAAATTGTACTCTTTTTTTATTATTAGTTCTACGAGAGCATTCCGAGGTTTGCGGACGTTAGTTCGGCGTATATATATATAGTGACCCGTTCACACAAAAATTTCAATTTTTGCGTAATTGTCAACAGATCCGTCTATCATTGGGTACTTTTTGGGAAATCTTATAGTTTTTGTGTCAAGGTACTGAAGATATAAATTCGAGGCACTTAAATAGTAGTCACGGCAGTTTTATACGGTCAATCCGATTGTTATGGGAGGAGAAAGCAAATATATTCGACGTGTTCATTACAGACAATATTTTTATATACATTTGGTAGGCGGCTATCTTCGAGAAGACCATGAAAGTAACCGTGTTCCTCCAACGAGTACTCCCAACATAAAATATTTATATATGTATATATAAGTTATATTACTCTGCTAAAATCATTAATAATAATAATATTACAATTATTATCATTATTATACCGTATATATATCTCATTACTCCGACAACAAAGCAGTGACTTGTCATCAAATATCACATAATTCGTTCTCTTCTTTACCATTTTTTATCTGTCGTATATAAAACTTTTTTTTAATTCACATTTCGATCGATTAAAAAGCCAGAAATGTTTTCATTATTCTGCAAGCTGCGTCATGTCCAACAGTTTCAGCGTCGCTGACAGACGAAATGAATAAATAGCCTGTATCGATGTCCAGCATACACCTGTATCCTAATTGGCTTCGTAAGGGCAGGATAGGACATAAGGCCCGATGATGTAATTTGTAGGTTCGCACAACAAATAGAAGCGCATAGGCAATAAATTTGAGAGTAGTTCTGAGGGGAAAAAGAGTAGCATATATATACACATATGGGCGGCTCGCTCAGCAAGACTTTCATAGTTGTCCGTCTTAAACATTACCCTTTACTTCACCAGTTCATCGCAGAATCCGCATTCAGTAATCATCATCATAGTGTTAGATCTATTTTATTGTCAGCTAGGTCTAGCGACAGACTTGACGGGGCCGCTGAGGCCATTAGAATTTGAAATAGACGTGCGCATCGAAAATGGCCCTCCCGCTAACAGACAGACATCACCAGCGACAAGACACTTATATTAAGGATAAGGAAAGTGGGTTGCTAGTATTTATAGATAATGATAAAATGCACGTTCGTCGTTAGTGTCGCATTATCACTGCTACTGATGTACTAGCATCAGTCAATGAATAAACATAGAGCAAACTGTTTATTGTTTAGCGTGATGCTATCTTTCTATTACTGTATATGTTATTTTATACGAATTCCTGGAAGTCCTCTACAATGTTTTTGCAGGCAATGGTGCTTAGGTGTGATGATGATCTAATTAAAAATCGTTCTATGCTCCAGTCGCTGTACCGCAGCGTCGACTAGTAGAAAAGGCTACTAGGCGACGTCTGTGGAAGTGTAGTATTTTTGTTCGTTCGTTTGTTTGCGGTTTCAAGTCTGTCATTGGAAGCAGCGCGCCATTGAAACATTAAGAGCACCGGATGGGTCCGTCTTTTAGCGCTTGGCAGCGGTTTGAGTAATATCTTAATGTTCACTTCCGCTAGAATTCCCACACGAGGACGGCGAGCTCTCGCCTACTTTGCGGAGGTCTTCAGGCTCCGCGGGCGTTGAAGGCGGACTCACTGGGGCTTCAGCTGGGGCGCCTTTACCGGCGAACGTCCCACCGGGACCAGGATGCAGCATAATGTCGCGCAGAGTCGCTACTTCCTCCGCCAACCTCTGCATTTCGGAACGCAATTGAATATTTTCGCTTTTTAGATTCGTTTGACCATTTACGCTGACGATCACTCGTCGACGTGATTTTGCCGGCCGAGGCGGACTTGCAGGCACATCCGTCGATGAAGCCCCACTGTCTCCATCGGACGATACACCGTCCTCGCGTTCACGCTGTTCTGGTGAGGTGCTTGCATCGCTGCCACTAATTAGCCATTTGTGGCGTAATTTATGCGGAAGGGAGAATGCTGTCCCTGCAGAAGGCGTCAAAGCTCCAGTGGGCTGATCTTCGGCCGAGGCCCAGGAGCCCGAGGAAAGCGGTGAACTCTCTTCACCTCGGGACGAATTGTGATGTGGCTCCTCGGCAGGATGTGGCAGTGGTGTCAATGTGTGGGGGTGATTGGGAGGATGAGGAGCTGGGCTATACACCGGTTGTAATAGTGCTTTAGGCATCGACAGCGCCGTAATTAACTTCGCATTACTTGTGGGAATTCCGGGGGCAGCAAGTGGGGCGGCTGGTGATGGTAATGGGCGCTGTAAGTGTGGATGATGCAATGGTATTGGCTGATGAATGACGGTACGTTGCGGAATCGCCGTTACTGGATCGGGAAGAGGTGGTGACGCGTGCGGCGGAGGGGGATGCGGTGTCCCGTGAGGATGTGGTCCCTGCAGTAACTGGCTCAGTCCGTGTGGAAGTTGCGCTGGGAGCATGGCTGGTCCAAGGCCGTACTTTTCGCGTATCGCATTTAGTTCGGCCCGTAGCATCGAGTTCTCCTTGACGAGTTCAAGGACGCGAGTTTCGAGAACCATATCATTGAGTCGGCGCTTCTCACGCGACCGTTTCGCCGCTTCGTTGTTTCGACGTCGCCGATCCCAATATGAATCATCTTTTTTCGAGTCGGGAATGAACTCGCGCTGTTTGCGTTGCGGGAACAATGCATCGCGCCCTCCTCCCCCTCCGCCCATAGGCGTTAATGCACTGCCAACGTCTATGGGCATAGTCCACGGACGTGGCGGCGGTGTTGCACAGATGTCCGAGCTGCCAGTTCCTGCTGGTGGACTGCCGTTGAGGAGCGCAATCTCCAGGCGCTGCTGTTTCTCGGGGGGCTCGTCTGCCACCATCGGATACCTCACGGCATCGATGTCTGTAATGAAAAGGGATGTGAGATGCGAAACAAAGACAACGCACACAAAAAAGAGGGTTAGAATTTCATCCTTCGAAGCCTATTTTATGACTGGGTTTTTAGCATCTGGGTTTAAGAAAGAAAAGGAATAGTTTGTGGTCACCGATTAAGCGATCGTTGTTGATTATCGTTAATATTTTATAGATATCTTCGTTTATTTATATATTACGGATATACGGCGATTTGATCCCATAAGCCGGACTGTATAGGAATTGACTAAGAAAGAGAAGAATTGGTTGTCTTTTGATCGAAGAAATCTTTCACACTTTTGTAAGAAAAATGGTAAAATACATACGGCAATTTACAAATATGTTTTTTAATAACGCCGCGATATAAAGGCCTCCAAGAACCTTGAAAAAGTTTAAGGACTGTCTCCAACAAAGATATACACAGCCAGGCCCGATACTTAACCGATTGAAAAGGCTTCTTAATGAGAGGCAGAAGGCCACACTATAAGAAAATTACTGCTAGTCAACTAATGAAACAAATTCGAAAAAACTCATTAATCTGTTCTGATACCTACGAAATCTATAGTACGTTCCGCCAATTACTGACCATGAAAAGTGAATGCCCAGTTACCTACGTGTTCACCTACTCTATTCCTATTGCCGTTATTTACGTGCGTCGTCAGCACACACATGTAAACACAGAAAAGTACGCGTATATTACATATCACATGACAATGGCGTATAGCGCACATAACCGATGTCCACATACAAACAAGGAAAGGATCGTATAGAAAAATGAAAAGAGAACGCCCATTAGAAAACGATCTACAGCACACAAGGATACGGACAGGTAACAAGCTCGGACTGGTCTAACATTACGCGCAACTCGTCGTCGTCGAGTTCGTCGCTGCTGTAAAGATAGTCCCTTAGATGCTCAAGAGTTCGCCCCGCTATTCTATTTTATTGGGTTATATGAATGAGCAAACTGGGGAGCAAACGACGATCTAGAGCGCGCTCCAGTTGCAGTTCGCGCCGTTCACCATGGCTGGAGGATGCAGGAAAGGGTTAACGCTGACAGACGGCAGACAGCGGCACGAGACGACAACAACAAAAACGACAACAACGAACTAACGGCCGATGCTGCTGCTGTGAGAGCTAGGCTACAGCGACAACGACGATAACGATATTCGACCAAAGCATCGCCGTTCGCAGTCGCCGAACAGTCGCGGCGTAGACGGGTTGATTGCCGTTACGCCTAGGGCAGAGTCAATGGGAGCAGCAGCAGCAGCAGCAGCAGCAACAAAGGACAGCAGCAGCCGTAGCAGACGAAAATGTGCCACATCCTCCACTACAGAGAAAATCGGGTCAAGGTGCCAGCCCCGATTACCGTTATGTCACGAACGAACTAGAGATGGGGGAAAAACAACGATTGAAATAGCAATCCGCTTAACCTGAAGAGCTGCATTTTCTGTGGTCATAATGTCAACATCAGGCCCGAACACAAAAACGTGCTGGATGGCCGAACGCACGTCACAGATACATCGCACTCGATACTATACTAGTATACGAAACAAACAACTCATTCATATGTGGCCAACAAATCGATAACGAGGACAACAATTATAACCATAACCGGCAGATATTTCATATGGTCTTGGAATCGCATTGACAATACGCTGTGTTCGCGTGATATATATGTGCTCGATTATTACTACTGTTAATGTCTTCGGAATAGAAATAATAACAAAGATGAGGAACGGTTGTTATTGTTGATGATGTGGTTATAGTTTTGTTTGTTGTCGGTTTTCCAAAAATGATCGATCGATCGATCGGTCGATAGAAGCATCTCAGCAGAGCTCACGCAGTCTTACCTGAGTCAGACATTTAGCATCAGGCGCCGTCATCGGAGTGCCAAGCCGTGTGCTTTTACACCAACAGCAGGAGTATCCCCATTACAAGGCGGCTTCAATGGCAGTAGTAGTAATAGGAATAGAAGCGATAATATCGGTGGAAAGCTTTTAGCAGGGACACCATAGCACTTACTTGCCACTATGAAAATATTACTGCTACTATTAGAATCTCGAGGCTTCTGCAGGGTGCGCCTGCAGCTACCTTCTGGGTATTATTACGTTGCTATCGTCTATCGCCTAACGGTGGTTTCATCAGCGACGCGTCAGAATGCAGCGCGCCCGTAGTTGTAGCGGCAACAGGGGGAGGGGCAGCGTCAACAACAGTAATTCTAGTAGCAACCTATAAGATGATAGCCTAGTTTCGGCTTGCACATGAACTAGGTCAATGCTAGACACTACAAAACAGATACAAAGACGGTAGCCGCAGCAATACGTGATGGCCTTACATACTTCAATGCACTCAACGGCTGGTTGCTTCAGCCGTCGGATAATAAACACAGTGGTGCTAGAGGTGCGACTTTCTCACAAGTACACATGTCTTGCTGTTTCATACTCTTCTTGCTGTTTTCTTTCTATCGTCAGTATTCGCCCAGCGTGCACGCCGGTGCCCTCCTATCGTCGCATTCCGTGTAAACGCCGACCGATACTGTAGCAGCCGTTACTCACGATCTTAACGTGTTTACGACTAACATGCGACTATACACCAGTCTGTTAGAACTCATGCCACAGCACAGGTGGCACGACGAAGGGAACAAAAACGACACGTTGACGAATGGAAAAAGAATCGTTTGTTGCTTTAATAGCAAACACAATATTGACAAACAACAACATCCGTTTGACGCGGATTTGCAATGCATTCAAATCAGATTGTGTTCCTGACATTGGGAAGTACTCATCAGAAGACAAGGCGTATGACATTGACTTAACTGGAACGAGACGAAATAATTTTGCAATTAATGTTTTCAAAAAGGCTGTGTTTAGGCACTGGGCTTGCAAGTACCATAATTGAGTTTGAAAGTAGATCTTTCACATAATACACGTACAGCTTAGTACTTACTAAGTCTCGTTTCGGATTTGGTCGCAAGCGTCCACTCGTGCTTTATATTTGATTCATGATTCCTGGACTGCACCATGCAAAGAATTTCGAACGAGCGATCTCAACAGCAAACATCTACTACTGTGAATACCTCGTCCCTACAAACACTTCGCTCTGGAAGTGATTGAACAAATACTTTTTGGCTTACGACGGGCGTTACATATTGGACCGTTCGCAGAACTTGTCAGGGCGACATAAGGACGCCATACTTTCCGTTACGACCTTCTCATGCAACCCTCAAAGAGCTGGTTGTGGCGTCAGCGCACTAAATCTCTTATTCCATGACATCTACTCAGTGAAATGATAATGAGTCCATACATGAAAAGGCAACCATTGCCTACTAGACCCTTTACGGATGATGTTAGACAAAAAGCCTAGGCCACGACGGCAAACATTTTACTTATTCCTACAACTATGTAAATATGTAAGTACATTAAGAATTTTTAGAAGCGTTGAGATGTTGGATTTCCGAGTTTTCTTAATGAAATATTCGCCTGCGCCCTACTTTTAGATCACATCGTCATACGCCGGCTGCCATTAATACTCAACTAAGCTAACTACTGATTAAGAGTAATTGCGTAATAAATGGATTCTCTTCTAGCCTATAAAACATACATCGTCAAACATGAATTTGATTCCGAGTAAGCGGATAGTATTATACCCACAAAACATCAATATCGTTTTATCAGTACGAACGCAGGCTCGTCATCGACGGTGACAGCTATATCTTGTAGTTCCATTGGTCTCATTAAATACTTTTATTTGTTTTCATCGTCCTCCTGTTATCACCATAGTAAAGCCTTATCACTAGCACGCCAATAGTAGGTTTACGCCTAGATGTCTACCCTATGTATTCTTCTCGGTTTCATAACGACTACAGGCCACTGCCCGTTATGGATACGTATGCTAACACTGAATGTGCCAATTGACAGTTACATGGTGGTGGTAACATATCGTCAGCCTGCGCTACCCCATCAGGCGACATAATAAAGATGGCAGTAAATTGGGACAAGGCTGCCAGACCATGTCGACCTTCGTCGTTTGATATTATGGACGTCGCTAACGAGATCTGTGGCGAGCAGTACCAAAAAGAGGATCATTGTCGTTCGGGGGCAGTTTGTTGTCAGTTTAACACGGAATTTGTGTTCTCGTCAGCGTGTATCGTTATTGGAAAACGTCATGAAGGAACGCACCCATGATGATGCGGTACGCATGTATGCGCATGCTATACGAAAGAGACAATTGCGATTATAGTACGTATTGCGGGCTCCTGTGCACACAAATACTGATATTTCGTTGGGTCATTTGGGTAGCATGACGTTTCTAATTACGCCTTCTTACGTTTTTAGTAGTAAACCAAATTAGTGTAATAAGCTTTTTATGATAGAACTCCTATTATTTGTCAATGTCATCGGAAAAATACGACAAACATGAACCGAAAGACAGGTTACAATAAACCTACTTTTGTTACGTGACAGGTTCTATCCTTTTGCATACATTTGAATTATTCCGGGATGCACGCCAATGTAGATTATGGTGTATTTGGAATTTTAAACCTAGGTCCATCCTTATATCGCGATGCAGAATATGTCACACCTAAATAAACTGAGGATTTTAATCGTGCGGGTAATACCATATTTCCAAAGATTACCCTGAACGCGAACCCCGCACTGTAAAACATACTTGTTATATTCATTGAAATAGAATAATAAGTTTTTTTTAGAAAAATTTTTTTAAGGACTCTCAGGACAATAGATGTTGATTATTTTAACAATTTATTTCAGATTTTCAGATTTTTCAATTGAACAAGGTGTTTTTCAATCTGCGACGTGAACCTAAATTCTCATGTAATTGGGGAGGACCACTACAATTATCATATTGGTTTCTACTTAGAAGGTCCTTGGAAGTAGACTAGAGATTCGGTAAGAGTGTATCGTAGAATCGCATGAGAGTATTTTAGGTCCACGTGCGTTGCAGGATCGAGCATAAGTTATAAGTATATAGAACTTCCGGACGTACATAGATTCGAAGAATCCCACTTATCTTTATAGCTAGACTTGTGTCGGGCCACGTATTCTTCTTAGAACAGTAACAATAAAAAGTACTGAAACTTTTGCATTCATTAGCAGAGACGCCGTCGGCTTAGGCGGCCCACAACACCTTAAACATAACCTCCATCCAAACCAGTGTCGAAAAATATGGGCGTAAATTTTTCTAATTTAATAATAAACGTTAGCTAGACTGGTCGTATAGCGCGCCGATTTGACACCACTCATATCAGATGTACTACACTGTACGACACATAAGTTATATGCGCCCTTATATCGCAACGCATACGCGTCTTACTGTTGAGTAATTCGATAAATATACTAGCTATTCTATGACGTTCTCCTTCAAACGTTGCCTCCATTTAAGGTCCAAGAAATACGTTATTGACACTAAAATGATAAACTTACATTATACACAAGCATAGAGATCTATATATATATATATAGAAACTATCGTCAGTCATTTGTGCGACTCTTTCAAGCGCAAAGGCACCTGCAAGAAGAAAGAGAGAGACAATCCCAAGTGACATGATGTCAGCCGAATGGCGTGTCAAATTGATACTGCTGAATGTTTCCCAACAACGGTAGTCCCTTTTCCGTTATCTTACTGAGATTCGTATAAACACGCCTAGGTCTATTCACTCACTTCGGCGAGTTTATGCAATTTCTGGACCGCGATACTTCATGATAGTTTCCTTTTGCCGTCATCACAAAAGCTCCTTCATGGTCTGCAACTATAATCACAACAAGTGAACACCATGACCGCACTGCTGAGTCAAGTAATCTGACTTCTTTGTTATGACGTTTAAACGGTTCTAAATTTAGGGTAGCGTCCAGGTATTAGTCGTTATCGCAAAATGATGTAACGTTTTTTACGAGACTCTTTAAGCTTTCGTCTTTACTGGTTGCGAGTACAATAAAAATATTTCGAGTGGACTATGCCGATGAACCACAAAATGCGTCGGCGTACATCGATTTGTCCATCAAAAAATCGTTTTAGCACAAACGGACGTCGAGGAGTCCGATCAAAACAAGACTGTATATGCAGATTTTATTATGCAGATTCTAAAGGTCACTTTGTTATAATTGTCTTTGAATAGACATATTGTGCTGTAGTTATTTTCGAGATAGTGCTCTTAGATAATTCAAAGATAAGCTTTGAAGGCTAATTGTCTGAGGTAAGTTAGAGCTTCACACATCCTTTGATTGTAACATGTATACGCAGTCAAGGCTGAAATAAATGTTTTGGGTTTGTACGTCAGCTACTGCCATTCAGCACTCCTTTGTGCACTTGGCTCCCAGCAGTACGAAACGAAATGTCTGCATGGCCGATTTCAGACCCAGCCCACCATATGTCTCTAATTTTGGCAAGTAAACACGTTAGCCATTGCGTTATCACTGGAAGGAAGGCGACAGAGGACCAAAGAGAAAGGTGCCATTATGTTATTTCACGTTTGTGTTATGGTCCTATTAAACCCGTTTTTGATGAAAAATAGGTATCAGTTATCCATAGCGTGGATTGGCCATTTATCTTGGTACCGAGAATGAATACACGAGTCACTATTGATATTAACTAGAAATGCCAGAGTGGACAAGGCAAAGGGCTTTCGAACGGTCGACCTTACCGTCTAGTGGTTGCAGCGCGCCACTATGGCGATTGACAATTGGCAAGAGTTACATTCATTCCTAAACATTTTTATACAACATATAAAGCTTATTTCAACCCGATAATAACTTCTAATAGAATAAAATGTTTCGATACATAGACCGTAAATAACTGCGCGTGTTTCCTACGAGTCGTCACCCATTCGAGGCACGTGTTTGTTGACAGGCTATTTTTCGACGAAGAGATTGACGACTAAATAAAAGCTAACAAATTAACTAAATGTTAATAAAATTCTAATAGATTTGTCATTATTATATTTGCGTGCACCAGCCAAGTGTGTCCTTAGCGGTCACGTTCCGGTTAATTTTAATGTTTCTTCGTTTGATGTTATATACATATATAATTGATCCAGGTGACTTACCCTAACAGACACCTGTTTAGCTCAATCGATATAAAGGTTAGGTAACTAAATGCAGTTTATCCTTGTATAAAATTTTTTACCGGTATTTCCGAAAATATACTTCCCTGAATAGTCAATGTTAACTATAAAAACGGTAGACTTATTAATCAGCTCTTCTGTTCTGCAAACCCTAGAACGCATGATATTTTAAAAAGGTTATCAGAGCCTGTTTTGCGTGATCTTCTACAGTAGTACCATCATAAAGGGTTCGGGCTGCAGCTCCCAAAAGCTTTCGCTCATTCGCTTGCCATTTCTATAATGTAAAATAGTATTATTTTACATTATAGAACATATTACATTGTTACAATGTTTTTTCCTTGCTAGGAATTGACTGAATGTTTAGTCTTTCTTTTTTCAAAGCTAGCCTCTTGTGACGATTTTAAGGTTGAAAAGAATGACCTTACTCGTGTCTCTGTAACAAAACTCATAGAGACTAAATAGCAAAGCAGAAGAGCGGGGCTACTGGCATTATCTTCATTTTTTGCATTTAACGGTACAAATGAACTATAGCCCTTTTCTGATAATCGTACTCATTACAGAATGAAAACTAAGGTTGTTAACAAACAGAAACTATTTGCTTGAGTATATTTTGTTTTTTTCGCATAGTCCTTAATCGAGTCCTAACCTGCGAGTGGAATCGCAGCAGTCAATAACCGGTCAGCAGATTAACTAATTTAACTTCTTACCTCATGAACCACTACAATCGACTCTACTTGGCTTTTTGAAGTTATATCACTTACAAAATAATTGCCAGTGTCCCAGTTTTTTAACATCCTCAGATGTTATCATCAGATAAATATATATTTTATTTGTCAATTATCAAACACAGACTTCGGTGTTTGCCAGACTTCTAAGTGTCATTACACCGATTTTCATCACTTTCCGGCGTGGAACGTGTAACATATATAGCCGGGTTTAAGAGCGGAATCATAAGGCATTCGCTTTTTACATCGATTCCTTTGTTGGTCAAACGCTGCGGAAAAAGCCGTTTTCCCTTTCCATCCCCATTTTTTGTTTCATTCTGTCTGTCTGTCACGTGTTGGGTCCCAAACGTATTAACGTGGGGTGAGCTCGCCCATCTCAAAGCAAGCACGCAGCGCCGCCTGCTATCCAACGAGTCAGACAAATGACTTTGCAGCGCCCCTTCTGTTTCCTGAGGCGATGTGAAGTGGCGATACGGAGACCCAGAAAAACGAAAGTGGGCTGTCTAAGTGGAACAACGCTAAATATTTCGCCAACGCTGGATCCATTCAGCCCACGGCATGACCTCGATTAGCCTTTTGCAACAACATTAAGAGAAACAATAACAACAACAATGAAAACAGCAATAATGACGAAATTGTTTAATAAATGAATCCGTGTCGGATGTGTTTTATCTATTTCTATGGACGCGGATAAGTTATAAATACGGTAAGTTCGACGGCAATTACAGTTGGTTTCTGCAACTTGATCGGTTCAACGACTGTGAACGAGGTGGGGAAAATTAATTTGCCACGGTATACCGTCGATGGTTGTCGCAAACGATATAAATTGTCTGACAGATCGTCTATTTCAATATGGTACAAAAAGGAGTACTTCCGCTAGCGAGGCACAAAACGTAGTACATTGATTCTGAACGAGTAAGATGTTTAATTTATTTGGTTGCAATGCATAGATGATTCGCCGTCTTATCGGGCTTCTAAGCATTAAATGCTAGATATTCCGTACTGAGACCCTCAACATAAAGCATGTACCTAATTAATTGCTGCAGATTTAACAGACCATATGCCTCCATATTGTATATAGTGATGTTTGTTCTTCATGGATAGATGACCAAATAATACATCCTCGCAGTGTGGAACAATTTTTTGGAGTTTGTACACTTCAAGTTGGTAACTTCGGTTACCTTCGTGTGACAGACTCGATACGCCATCATCTATGGTCCTTTACAGATACTGCCGGCGAGCTTGACCGAATCCAGTGTATTGATGAATGAAATTTAGGTAGCGCAAAAGCAACGTTTTTAGCGGTGAAGCAAACCGCGGATAGCATTCGATATGGACTTTATTTATGTATATCAGCACACCTAAAAGGTTCATCTGTGAAAGCCTGAAGAAATATTGCCAAAAAACTTTTGCTATTCCTGATAATTACGAACATTTCGAAGTGGTATCCTATGACACTTCAGTGGCGCATGTATCAGCAGTGCCAAATTTTTTACAGAAGATAACTGTGCTGTATCCGCACCTGTTTGTGTATCCTTGTCAAAGATATTCCAAGTAACAAATATTAACAATGACATCTGAAAGCTACCATATTTAAAGACAACACTCGTTACTTTTCCGCAGTACATCATTGTATCGGTAGATTTGCAGTACTTTGCTATAATCCGTTCACCTTCGACAAATATGAGTGATTCGAACAACGGACACCGCTCCATGTGCTGAAGGCTGCAGTTCTCTGCAACACGAACGTTAGAGCCTGAACATCAGATAAGCCAATGGCCGAACTGCAAAAAAGCTAATACACGAAAACGTCATAGGCTAACATCAAGATGGAAAAGCAAAATAATCATTTCGGCAGACGAAAACAAAGTTGGCGCGTGGCAGAGAGGGAAGCACTTGCTGTTCCAAGGCTCGGGTTCTATTTAAGCGAATCTGGGTTGATCGAGACGCTGATCTGAGTGTTGATCTGGGTTGCGGCGACCCCGTTACCCCGGTCTACGCCGTCTTGTTGAATGTACCATTCCGTTCTTAACTCACCACTCAATGAATGGGATAATAAATCATTATCATCCACCATTACTAGTGAGGATGCGTGGACGGGTAAATGGGTAGACGTAAATGGGGTTATTTTGCAGTCTCTGTTGCCTATCCGACTCAGAAGGACAGCGTCTAGTACGCCGTAGCGTGAAGAGATAGCAGAAGAAGAAGCTAGAGAATGCAGCTGGCGAGCGACGCGTAACGATCAAGCGCTGCAATTTATTTGAAGATGTTCTCCGACTGGTGACGGCCGCGGCGGCGCGCTCGGCAATATTGTCTCGATGACAACAATAATAACAACTACCATCTGCAAAGCCCTGACGGGGAGAGTCAGGACAACCACGTAACAATCATTCCCGACAAGCGGTATGGCACGATCTAACTGGCTGTCTGGCAATCTTAGTATGTTAAGGACACGAATAACATCGATGCTACCACCGATAGGAGGTAGGGCATAACGGCCAAGGCTAATGTGGCGAGAGAATCCTATGCTGAGTCTTATGGACCTAGTTTAATAAACGCTAGTAATGACGAAGGGTCACAAGACGTAAACCGCTGGTCCTTAATTGTACGCACAAGAGTATGATCGGGACAAAGTTTACTGTGCTTACCTGTCTTAATTCTAGCTCGTTAGGGAGTGGCTTATTAGCCAATTGGACTTGCATAAGGTACTCCGATTATTAAGTTACTTAATCCATCTTCATTAAAACCACCAGCTGAAGCAACAGAAGATCCAGCTGTATCATCTGCATTAATACCGTTTATGAAAAATCATTAATCCTATTTAGTGAAGATAATTCAAGATGTTGAGGTGGCTCTATAAATCCAGTATACTTGGCCAGAATAGTTGTTGGTATTAAAGGCCCGATAATTAAATCGTCTTTGATCACATATTCTAATCGATTTTGAAAGCCCATAGAAATGGAAATCGTGTATTTTTTTATGGATGAGAAACGCTTAGTGATACTGTGGTCGCGGCAGCGGGATTCAAGCGAACGGGATGAGAGCACTACTTCTGGCTTATTTCCATAGAAGTTAATCAGCAATGGTTAAACCGATGGACAGTTTTTGCCGACGGATGGCAAATGACAAAGGTGGGAAAGTTCGTAATAAAAACCTAGTATTTATAATTAAGTCTCCGCTGTTCTTATTTAATAGTTGAGCGTTGTGCTGTTGTCTAGTATTGCCTTTACATCCTAAAGGAGTATACTGCAATACTGGTTCAGATTCAGCAATAAACGCCTAAAGTTTCTGGGTACTATTCAACGAAACTGAGGATCTCCGAATGTAGCAGGTTTGCGATGAGGTTCCTCCTGACTAAATACGCTCACGATAATCTCGAAGTAAATTATCTCACGATAAGGTCGGCTATAGTCTTGCTTGAGCCATCGTAACGTGTGTGATGTAATACGATGGACGAGGCTTGTATATACCTATGCGCAGATATAAAACACGTAAACAGAGATTGTCAATTGGATACACTAATATAACAACATGTCGTTGCTTACAGTGGCTTTAAGGTACCCGTAGTAAAATATCAATGATGGCTCTTAGATAAATCTCATCTTGCCTCCAAGGCGCCTGATATATATCATTAGGCTACCACGATTATTATGCGGATCGACCAAAACGATAAAAACTAACTCGTTCCACCTCTTTTTAAAGAATCAACCACTATTTGAGAAGTTGATACATTTCGTATTAGGTACTGTTTATGAGATAACAATTGACTTTTTTTCGTACATGTAAGAAGCCGGCATCTTATTGTACCTTGCATAGCCCTTTCCTGATCAGAGAGCTGAATTTGCGTGCTAATCGCTAGTAGCACCTGCCGATGTGTCCATCAGACGACAGGCGTATTCTCTCACTTCACAAGTCTCAAGTTGAAGACCGCTTTTTTTGGCAACGTAGAAATTTCAAAATCGTGCTATATTTATTATTCAAATTTAATATACACTTGCCATGCATTGCTGGCTCTAGTATACATATGGCTAGTAACAGCTAATCAACGGAAAGTGTCTAGAATTGTCAGATAACAACATTATTATCTAGTCTTATTTTCCCTTCAACAATATATGCCTTTGGTACTCTTGTTGTGTGTGCTGTTGTTGTAGCAGTTTATTGCTGTCGCTTTAGACGTCGTTAGATGTAGTTTGGGCGCGTGGACACCGATACTGTTTTGAAGATAGGTTGTTTTTCGTTGACGCGCAGTGCAACGTCACCCGTCCAGTGGCGTCCGTTCGTTTATTCAATAAGACGACCCGAGAAGAGAGAAGAGGCCTTCAACGCGAAGGCTTCTCCAATGGCAATCATCGAAGGTCCTAGAAGTAGCAGTATGTGTGTGGATGGCGTACAGGATGAATGGGCTGACTGCGCCTGCTGTCACAATTACGGCCACGAAGGACAGCAACTAAGTTGAACTGACCGATCCTTACAATCAGCAATCTTCTTAAATCTAAATTTGTTAACATACACACATATATATATATATATATATATATATATATATATATATATATATATATATATATATATATATATATCGAAATTATCGAAGGGCAATGCCCACTCTACTGAAAAAAATTAGCGAGACATAACTTATCAATCGATGAAAAGGCGATACTTGCAATACGCGTTTAATATAGTAAGTTTAATATATTAGTAACATTCAATAGAATAGGGTTGAACATTGACTTCCAGGTAGCCCGAAGTGGTTGCTAGTGATGGCAGCCTTTTAACTTATAACTTTTCAATATATAACTTATACTCGTGAGCTTTTGAAAGAGAGGAGGGAAAAAACGTTTCCTTATGGTCATTCTTTATACTGATTCGCATTTATGTAGCATAATGTGGTAGGATAAACATTTTATGTATGATGATGTAGAAGCCACAGTCGTTTTGTACACCAAATTTCAATGGCATGGAAGAAAATGTGTTTGGAACATAATAATGAAATAAGAATACATTTCAATTGGCATATTTCAAGATTATGTTTTGCATTGAGGATATGTATTTGAATGATCTCGTTTTCAATTGTTATAGTGGTTAGTAATAGCGAAACAGATATACACGTTCAGGAAATGTACGTTTGTTTCTGAATTGGATTTTGTCATTTACGATTTGTCGTCGACCTGTTTTTATCAAGGATAGAGTATACTATATACATCAGAAAACAAAGCTGACAGGGCTCTCGTCAGGATTTGTCTGACATTTGGCTCAGTGATCGGTTTTATCCTTTATATTTTGTTATTATCCAGTTGGTTGGAATCGGCCACTGTGCGAGCGATATATCCGCAATGGGGATAATACTTCACAACAGAACAGAAAATAGAGACCGAAGTATCTGTTCAGGTGCACTGGGTATAGGCTCAGACATCGGACTCCGATGAGATATTTATTGATCGGTCCGATCGTTTAATTAGCATTTCATAATCAGACTTATTTAGCAAATACCTCTGGGTGCTCTTGTTTTGTCTTAACTATTACAAGGCGACAACGGTGTGTTCTCTTTAACATTGTGTCTCTAAATCGACATAAATTTTTATAGAAAGTTTTGATCATTGACTTAGGTACAGATAAGTGTTTGAGCACAGGTATGCGTGATGTCCAAAGCTTGATGATTTCAGAGCTGCCTCCTCACTGACCGGCTCTGCTCATCTGAAACTGCGTGTTCATTACACGATTTAGCCAAACTACTGAACTTCTTGCCTTTCTGTTGTTCTTTTTTTTCATTCTAAGACGTGACCACGATGATACCTTTAGTATATCCACAATACGGTTATCTGCCGTGTGCTGTTTGTCTATGTGCGTGTGTCCTATTGCCGCCTACGTGCGCTAACTGATATCGCCATTGCCTTGGCCGTGACAGTCCTTACCATCCGCAGCAGCCCCAGCGGTAACAGCGCACGCAACCAGAATCAGGTAGCCAGGACACGCCAGCCGTCGTCAATTTGCTTCTACTTATTTATCTATATCCGTGTGCAGTCTATCTCAAGTCTATCGGGCCACCTGTCCGTTTGTCTGTCTCTCCATTCATAGGGGTTCCTGAGCCCTTGACGTCGTTCTGCTGTGTGTGGCAGTGGCCATAACGATGGCCACAGCCGCTGCTGTTATCGCCCTTGTAGACCCTGGCGTGGCCAGCTATACGGACATCGCTGTATTGCCATCGAAATCACCACAACGCAAGCGTCGAGCATAAGCCCGAAACAACAGGACAGCCATATTTGGTTCTTTTTTTCTGCCAGCCACTCTCTATACAATCAGTAAGTCGTATAGTTAGACTACTATTAGCTTAGCTAGTGTAGGGCAACGCCGTAACGAACGATACCATAGCAGCCATCCACAACAGCAGCAAAGAGACGCTGCAAAACTGCTACGGCAGAGGATCAGCGGTGCGCCCCTATGCGATGCTGTGACTGGGTGCAAGTGTTTCGATTGCCGTTGTTACTACGATCGCCAGTACGAAAGAGTTACACTATATAGACGTACCATACAGTAAATAGACGTTGTGCGATGGCTATGACAAGGCGCTATAACAATCACGCTTCACTCTTTCTGTCCGCTCTTTCTGAACATCTGGGTCATGGCCTCGTTCTTACATTGCTGCTATTCCTTATTTCTGTCTTAATGTATATATATATATATATATCTATATAAAGTGAGAGAGAGCGAAAAAGGGAAACTACATGTATGTGCTTTGATTTCTATTACAGTATATAAATACACACGGAGAGAAATTAAGTTACTCGAAAACGTATCAAACTGTTCCGCATATGTGTGAAGAAAGATCAGGCCCCCCCTCCCCCACACACACACACACAGTTTAGAACAAAAAAAACCTCTATTGATCTGGTGAGGGATTAACAAATGGAGTAAAGACAAGATGCAAGTTTTGCAGTAAGTTCACTTAACTTCAACAGTTATTGTCAATGCAGCTATCATTTGCTTTAATTAATTATATATTACGTGACGAACACGGTATATAATCGAGATGCGGGTACAGTATGTGATCTTATGTAACCAAACCTACAAATGTTCAGTGCCGGAAAACACCCGACATCTGGTTAAACTAACCATAGCTACCAATACGTATGGTGCCACATCAAAGCCAATGGAAATAATCTTCTCTCATTGAAATCCACCAAAATTCCCACACGAGCCGATTAGGCATACGCTTATATTAAACAAATTCACTTTTTTAGCATTGATACCGGGCGCGGGACCCTATTAATTTTTCGATTTTAATAAACACAAACATATTGAGCCAATGGTTAGTAGGATTCTTTCCGAATACTCCCACCAAAACATGTTCAATCCGAGTTGTCACAGGACTGTCGCACATGGACTGTCGTATTGGAATTGATTTAACCGCTTACTAACTAAATATTACAATAATATAATAATAAATAAATAAAAAAAGATAAAAATAAGAACAAAAATTTTGCTTATGTGGACCATCTATGGTAGTCTTTTTCGTCTGGCTACCAAAGTGTTTCATGCGTACTAATCAAACTAAAACCTCTCGTCACGTTAGTAGAGAGAGATCCTAAGCACATGAGATAACAGTCAGTCCAATTAATGCAGGGATTCGTGATGAAAATGACGGCCAATTCTGCAATGTGCCCTGTATTTCTTACGGCTCAACCCAGTAGCGCCGGTAACCTTCATTCAATTTTGTCACCAGAGTTACCACTGAACCCGAGTAGAGCCTGTCGTGGTAATCACCCCGCCAGCCGCCCCTGATAGCACAAGATTAGCGACGAAAGAAAGCAGGACGGTAAATGGAAGCTACCAGCTCTAACGTATGATTGGACGGATTTCAATGTAAGCATTTGTTTCGAATATCAGCAGACTCAGAACAGCACAACCTCTCCAGTTTTTTAACGCACGTTTTGATTTGTGACAAACGTATGCTTTTTCCGTATATTGACTTGCAAAATCAATTGTCTGAATGTCGTTCATGTACTCCAACGAGCATTTCTCGCCTGCCGCAGTGTCGCTATGCACAGATCGTTGGCCGTACGCTACGCGTGTTTATTTGTTATAACTCTTCTACCGCCTGTAAGCTACAGTCACATCCACAGTTCTGCATATATATATATATCATGGAAATGACCTCTGCCGGTCGCGTCAACCAATGGTTGTCTAGAATTCAAGCACCGACTATGCCAAGCAATTGCCGCTGCTGCCAGTAGCAGAATCAGCGAAGAACGCCAGGCTGGCGTATTCGAAGGACGCTGCACTGCGGTACTATGCCATCTGCTATAGCGCTCACCCTTTGGTTGACTAGTTAGTGAGCTCATGTGAATGAATGAAACGAAGTGCTTCAGTCACTTCAGAGCTCAGCCGGGCAGGCTCAATTGGCAGTACCAGTTCCGAGTCATGTCCGAGCTGTGCACCGACTTTTCAATCATAAACAAACAGTCACGCGCACACAAAGGCTATACGTAGGATCAGCATGTACTATTATTGATTGTGGAAACAGCAACGGCTGCACGGATCCGTAAAGATGGCGATCCATCACAGCAGCGCTGGGCGGTGGGCAATAACTTTCGCTTCGGATTACTTTTCTGGTCGGATCGCTCCTCGGGTTCGCTTTTTGCTTGTGTTCATCATCCTATGGATAGCAGAGACTTCGCCGACTTCCAAACATCAACTTCACTTATATGTCCCAGAATCGCTTATAGGCCGCCCAGAATCGGCATTAATAGCAGCAATTGGACAAGATGTAGAGGTCCAATCAAATTGATGTGGCTATATACAGGCCGGCGTATATGTGAAAGGGCTCGCTCGCGAGTCAGTGGCACTACAGAAAAGTTGTTGGTGAGCTGAAGGATCGACTCCCTAAGTTGACTAGACGATGCCGACGATAATGATCCGGATACCAACGACGGTAGCGGTAATAATACTAATATTAATAACAACGATCATACGTAGAAGAAGAAGAAGAAAAAGAATGAAAGTGTTTATTTTCTGTCATGATTCTTGTTTTGTCGTTTCGCGCTTCATGTACTTGCTCTTTCTGCGTTCATTCATGAATGAGCTCGTTTGGTTAGCCGATCAATTATCGTATCCATGAAAAAAGCAAATGATTGATGAAGTGTAGGGACACGACATAGCGGAAGCCCAAATCAAGTCAAAATCGGACTGACTACGGATGCCGGGCTGAATACGGAGGACGTTGCTAACCAACAAGCTTTATTAGGCCAAAAATCTGCAGCGGAGCAGAGGTCAGAAATACTAACAAAATGAAAAGTACAAAGTAGTGAGGCTGCTGTGTATTTACTGAGAAAGTCCTGTACGTCGAAGCAAGTACTTACAGGTCCAATGTACTATTTAAATGACAGTCTGCGTGCCCTAACCGAGAGTCATCGTATATGAATTAACTATAAGACATAAAATTTCCTTCAGATCTTGCCCCTAGCGAACATGGCCTGATAAGCAAAATTTTGACCAGCGGTGCTTCTTGTCGTCTATTGCTTATGTGTTGTTTATATTTATGTGTATATGTTTAATAACCACAATAACAACCAAATACGCGCAGTAAATATCTTCATTAATTAGCAGTAAGAAATAAATAGCAATTAAGAGCAGTTCCTTTTTTTATCGGCTACTGTTGCATTAGTATGCCTTAAGGATTCTCAATTAGCATCAGATTCTATGATTTGCAAGCAATCTCTAGTAGAAAGAAGAACTTTGACAAAAACGCATCATTTTAATTTCCCCTATATATATTCATATTATACTATAAGTAACTTATAGTAGTATAAGTTAAGTACTATACTAAGAAATTTATACTACTATAAGTATAAAACGCGTATGTATTCTCTATTTTGGTGACTCTGCTGTTGTTTTTTATAGATTAAAATTTGCCAACAGTTAGAACATAAGCTATTGTAGCAAAACGCATTTTTCTTTCCTTCTGCTGTTACTACATAATGGTTCACCAGTTTGGAAGAAGGATGCCACTTGGTCATGTGGACGTATTTTCATTACGATACTTCGAGACGTTGAATGAACCTTCGGGGGGCCGGCAAAAAAAAAGATGACGCAATAATAGGAAAGTCAGCTCGATCAATTATTCGTCTGTATTAGAAGTGAAACTGTTGGAACATCACAGTGACGATGTCGGCGCTCAATTCCCCGCTCCGGCCCACAAATTGATCGCTTGGCCGTCGGCTCCGGGCCGATCGACCATCAGCACACGCATGTTTGCACAGGAACAGAAACTTCAGGGTAAGAATGTAGAAGTCTGCCATAGTGTACATATGTGGGCTCGTTGCTCCTTTACACTATTAGATTTGGATTTCTATGGGTTTCTAGTGTTTGACAAAATTACACGCCGGGTATTTGTATACATAGACAAGGCTTTAGAGGCCTTTGCAGATAGTAAAGCTTGTTAAAGAAAGGGCAATAGGGAAGCCTATATCTAATGGATACCCACGTTCAGATGAGTTTCCCCATTTGGACATGTAATTCCTTCTCATTTGGAAATTTTGAATACCAACGAAAATGCGCAGGCTGTGTACACGTTTATGACCTAGGATTGTATCTTTGCATACTTCTAAATGATTAGATTCACATGATCTTCTTGAAATGAAGAATGGACAAGCAATAACGATTTAATGACTACATTAAAAATTCAATAATGGAAATGAACAAGATGTCCGAATATGAAATATTGCTGTGGACATGTACTGCTTGGCATGTCCAGAGAAAGACATAGGGAAGACGGCCAAAGATAGTTTTTCCGTCCTTAAGCTTAAAGCACTAAACTCAACTACAAGCGTAAATAACTTATGGAATAATTGTTAAATCAAAAACAGGTAAAGCCAGCACCAGACCTACCTACAGATAATGCTACGGAACTTCAAGTCAATGAAGGCCGGTGTTGGGGTCCAAGCTTCAGGAAACGGTGTTTTTAGTTGGTTGAGCTATTACCGGCTGAAGATCGACGGACTGGAGTTGTAATCTGCCAATTCCTTTGCCACCTGTAACAGAATGAGAAAGTAGTTTTGTAAGTTATAATATTGAATTTTAAAATCAGGCAATACGAACAGTCAAAAGGTTAATACTGCAGGTCCTACTATTTCTGGTGAACACTGTCTTAGAATTTTCTGCAAAGGTCTGGGAGTTATATGAGCAATGCAGAAAAGAAACGGTAACCTTAATAAATTGTCTATTTAAATATTAATCAATCACAAATTTAGACGGTCCAGTTTTTATTTTTAGCTAATAAAATACAAGTTCGAAAGTCGAGCGCGTTTTCCTTATTGTACTGCCGACTCATTCGTACACCCCCTTTTTCGCTGACCTTTTCCTAGTTTCCTGCTGAAGCCTTTTTCTACAGAAGACGGCATTATAACTGAACAGTTTGTACAGCGATCGTGTATAATAGGACATCGCCAGTTACCTTATATACAATACTATATTTATTTTTGCTTCAGAAATACGTCGTGCGTGATGTGCAATGTTCGACGAATGTGACGTCGTTCACCTGCTCGAAAACCGTATAGTTATTCTCGATGGCGAACAGCACAGACATTATCTGGGCGCCCTGCAACACAAATTCCGACATCGACAATAATCGGAACAGCTATTGCGGTAATATCATGGCAAAGAAAGCTTCCAAACGCCAGCTAAAACCAGGCCAGCGTCTGGCATCAGTCAGTACCTTCTGGGTAAGATTGGCAACACGAAACGACATATATCCATGCTTTCTTCTATCCGTTGCTCCATTGATTCTTGCAGTTGCGCCAAAAACCCTCGCGCGCGGCGGAAAAAACACAATGACGACGATAAGGGGTCCGGTAACAGCCAACAGCGACACGATAGGTGTAAGGCTGTGCTCCAAGATGCAGCTTCTGCTGCCACGATGGGACAGCGGATGAGGACTCCAACGGAACCAACGTCGTCTGCAATGGCGACTTAGTCATGACGGTGATGATCGTACCCGTGCGTTGAGGATTCACAAAGCCAAATGAAGTGGGTCTCGATGGCTGCTAGCTGACCGCGGCTGTGCGCCGCGCGATCATCAGCCGTGAACAAAATTCTTCAAGACAGACCCGGCGATTTTCTTCGTGTCACCGCTGCCGTTGTTGTTGTTGTTGTTGTTGCTGCTGCTGCTGCTGTCGCCGTCTTCTGGAATCGCTTGGTCCGCGCTTGTTGATTTAACAGCGGCGCGGCCTCCTTGCTCCCTCTGTTCGTGGATCAGTTAACGGTGCTAGTGCACCAGTGTTATAGAGGAATGGGGTCGCGGCTCGCGCGCCCGAGCAGTAAGGAAACAACAAAGGTAATGCTAATAAGGAATGACGATGTTCTAGCAATACCAGAATCGAAGCTAAAGTAGAGTACAGGTCCATGATTGATTATTGTCTATCAGATAAATAGGCAAAATCGGATTCGGTGTGGAAACAGTTGAAAGTCAAGGGATACTTATTGCACTATCGGCATTTTGGGGGTACATTCCACTCGATTTAAAGCTGTCAAACCATTTTTCTGAACATAGATTTAACTATCGTAGGCACAGAAAGTAGAGCAACTCATCATTGCTCGACCCTCAATATAGGTTCAAGGAGCGGAGGAAGTGGAAGACATGATTTTACTACTACTAATAAATAATTTGATCAATGAATAGTAATTTTGCAGTAACAGTTCATCAAGGTGATCGGTATCATGGCAAGATCGAATTTTCATCGTTCGACTAACTTCAATTCTTTTTTTTTCAATTCTATGAAAATCGAACATTGAGAAGTATAATCTCTTCGAAGCCAGCCTGTAGTATAGATCAGCTTTTAGTAAAAATAGTTTTTTTTTTTTTTTCTTTTATCACGCTGCAACTTTTAATGAGATTTAATTGAATCGTGAAACGAAAGTGGTACATGACGAAGCAAGTCAATTTAATCTCTTAAGTGAACTAATGCAAAACATTTTTGCCAGTACTCGGGCTGTAGTTAACGACGCTCGACACGCGATGCAATCGCGCTGAAACAACTCGTTACGTGCATAAAAATCTACGTTCCTGAGTCTTGGATCGATAACAACCTGTTGCCATGCTCCAACCGATAAACCAAAACAACAGACATATTCAAAAATGCGCGGCAGTTTTGAATTTCTTGAAATGGTTTTGCCGATCACACTAACCTTTCGTAAAGTTCGTTCGGTAATCTTTTGTAAGACTTTGTTTCGACTAAGACGAAGTAACAACGAGACTGATGTAAAAATATCCCACACTACACAGCATACCGTGCTAACACCACTTCTACTAAGTGAATTGTAGGAGTCGACAAAGACCATATAATTAATAGGTGTATCAACATTACTCTATATATACAACTCTATATATATATATATATATAGAGTTTCACTTTTCTGTCCTTACGTATAATTAAAGTTAGTCCAATAGACCTCGTCAACGGATCCGCTAATCGAATTTTTAAGCTGCCAAAATTTGAGTATAGATGTACACACATACAACTTCTAACGAAGTTAGTTCATTTCCTTAACTTCATTCAATTCATTATAATGATACATTGACATTTGCATAATTTAATATAAATAATAATAAAAAGTTTTACAGCATTTGAAGCAAATAGTCATTTCGTTCCGAACGACTGTAGAATTGTAGCAAGAAGAAGTAAAGACATTTGCCAACTGATGGATTGTCAAACCCTAGAGATTATAGAAGGGTACATGGACAGTACGCAGGGATTAACGACAGATAAGAAAGTCATAGCGGACCTCGTCGTCTAGACAATGCCACAACGATTTTACCTTTGCTAATTTTTTGAATAGCTAAAGTTCGACAAAAAGTATTTGTTGTTTTTATCGTAATGGCCAAATACCGGTAACCCGCATTATTTGACAAGAAGGTTCGCTCCTCTCAGAGCTGGAAGCCGTTGTTTAAGTATTCTGGAGTAGCTGGCGAAAGGACTCAAATAAATGCGCGATACACGTTTACAGCCGACCGACACTGGATAATCGTGTGTCAGCAGCACCTTCTGATAGACCACCTGTGCGGCTCGCAAACCGCAGGTGAATTCTAATAACGAACCACGTCTATAAAAATAGTTTCTCAAAAGTAGCAGGTAGAAGCTACTAATTCCCTAATAATAAAAGTAGTGTACTTTTGCCCGAATCATTTGTTATTTGCAGGCTCCGTCAGCTAGATCCGAGACATTTCATTCAAGTTTATATTATCACAATAAAACAATGGGACAACCAGCACTTTGTAGATGTTACAGGTCCACCGTTTTTGGGGTAAAACCATAGGCCCGTCAAAGCCGAGCTAGAAATGTCGGGGTTTAAGTACAACCCGAAAGCTCTACTATCGAAAATTTTCATGTCAAGATTTCCGTACGCTCACTTCATTTAGTAGTCGTAATCAACACCTCACGAGGTGGTAGCCTGTTGCGTGACTTCTGAAAAAGCCAGGGAAGGACTCAATATGTCAACATTGATGACCACTGTAGAAAACAGATTTGCACGCCTCGACAACTAATAAGCAAATGTAAAAGTCCATATCTGATAGTGATAATGCTGTATTAGAAATCAGGTCTCTGAAAACGATACATGAAGAAGTGTTCTGTAGCTTCTAATAAAAACGCAGACGATCGCCATTGAGCGAAATGCCATCCGTATTTCTACAAATATCAAAACAGGCATACATCGGGCATTTAGTCAAAAATGAGCTCAGTCATTGTTTGAATCCTCCCGAAGTCACGAAACTTCTGCCTGTGTAATCTCATTGCGCTAAATTCAGCATATCTGGGTGCTAAACCCAAAAAAGTCTCGAGATCAACATCAGGTCACTTTCCGTCGATGCTAACAAAAGGTGCTTCGCTACGAAAATCATGGATGACACAAATTATTCCTTAAGAGATACACCGCATAACAATTACTACTATATCTGCGCCAAAAGGTAAGCTATTACATGCACTGAACACGAATTGACCAAAGCTTTTGGGATTGAGTTGATTCCCATACAGCGTCTTATCAGCCCACTACCGAATATAGCCTTACATTTGAAGGAAACAAACCCCAGTGACTCATGTTGCTCCCGGCGATTGGTAGGCAGATTTTCTTATGAATTATTCTAGATGTGTCCTCATTGTATTAGTATGAATACCATCAATAGCCGTCGTTAACCCTGGTACTGGTTGGAAAGGATAGTGCACGTTATTGGCAATTGAATATGTTTGTTTCTTTTTTTAACGCACATTTTGACAACGGCTGTACAAAAGGGGCTCTGTATTCGCATATACCCAGACTATTATTATATAAGCATCTATACACAGTAATAAATGATGTGATCCATTCATGTACGCGATTTTGGAGAGCTTAAAGCAAAAAAGTAGTTTGATAGTAAGCAATAAATCGGCTAATACGTCGTAAACATACGATACAGGATCTAGTGTAAGGGCCGATTTCTGATACTACGAATTTGTTGACTCCAACCGAAGGTTACGTATTTATCAAAGCAGACGATTTCGAGATAGTGCGCGTCGTGGCAATGCTTCGATGTCAATCTCCATGCCGAGTATCTGTCAAAGGAACATATCTGTTCGTTTGCTTTCATTGCGACTTCATTGTTGTTCATTATATTCCATTCTCTTCATTTGCCCCTAGCCCTTTATCAATAGCACCCGATTCATTACCCAGCAAACATACCGTATCGTATTGGTGTTGTCGAAACGTTGATATTTCTAATGTGTGAGTGCGCAGTGTACACGAAGACAGCAGCGACAGAAATCCGCCTTCATCCTTGCCGTCGACATTGCCTACAAGCTTCAGCCCAAGGTTCGATGATGAGACTGTAGCAGTTAATGTTATTTTAGCTCCATGAGTAATACAACAAGTAGTACTAGATAGTAATCTTGGCTTTTTCACCGTTATTGTCATAACGGAGGCGACAGCGGCAGCAGCAGCAAACGCTGCTGGTGCTACGCAAAACGGCAGCCTTCACTTCAGGGCCGGCACTCTGAGAGCTGTGGCACAGCCGTACCACGACGCACTTGACAAACAGTTCTGTTAGGGCTGTTATCGTGGCGTTCTACAGCGTTATAGTGTTGTTGATGTGGCTGTTGTGGCGATGCTTGTTGTTGGTAGAAGGGGTAGACCTCAGCAACAACAGCAGGAGCACCAGCAGAAGCCGCCGCCCCTGGCGGCGACGTTCGATATGTGTCCGTTACTCGATCTGCATATGTGAGTGTGTGAGGCGCAGCCGCGATGGCGTCGCTATAGCGACGGCGTTGACGAAGCTATATGGGCGGCTTTCGTGGTTATATAGCGTCACCAGCACAAGGGCAAGCGCTCGTGCAGGCAGCCCACCGCCGTTGACAACAACAACAACAACAGCAGCAGCAGTAGCAGTAGCGATTCTGGATGACGATATTTGCGAATTCTGGACGACCTACAACATCAATAACAACAACCACAGCCACGACAAAAACGACAATAGCAATAACAACGGTAGTGCCGGTTTCAGTAGCAGACGAACGACCAGCACGAGCCAGAGGGCGACGGCAAGGATGATAATTATGGTGATCGTGTTGATGCAGGTAGTATTTTTCTGGTTAACGTTAGCAGCGGCGGCGGCGGCGGCGGCGGCGGCGGCGGCGGCGGCGGCTTTACTGCTCGTGGCCCCGTTACTATTATTACTACTAGTGTATGTACTATTATGATCTTATATTTCGCCATCACTCGTATTGCTATCATTACTACTATAGCTTTTAATAGACACGCTACAATTGCTTCTTATAGCACTACCATGTCGAAATAGCTACACAGCTCTCTCCGTAGCACCAGCTGCTAGAATTAGAATACTGCTGCAGATGTTGCCGTTGAAAACTATCCGATTGCTTGCAATTGAGAAGGTGAATAGTTCGGTGACAGTGGCTGCCAGCTAATGTATATGAGTATTTCAGCCCTCTCGTTCAGCAGCAGGATCGGGCATGACTTTGGCCTTTGATGTGCCTACTTCAACTATATATATATATATTGGTATGTGTGTATACATAGTACTAGTATATATATAGTAGTGGTATGATGAACACAGTAGTAGCTCGACGGCGATGTCATTGTCGCATGGCCTTTCCAGAGGCCGCCGACGAATCAATTTAGTTACTGCCAGCATAACGACGATTGACGGTTAACGACAATTCATACGCATTTCATACGATCACCGTAAAAATACGTTGATGACACACTAGGAAGGCGGCACTGGCAACTAGGCTGGGCTGTCTCCGCGCTGTTTTCACTCATTTCACTTGAAAATTAGAACACTTTCTGCTTGAACCGTTCTGGGTTTTAATGTATTGCTCGTATATTGTCTTACATCGCCGGTGACAGTTTTCAGCGCGGTTAAATCAAAACTCAGCATTTCTTTGCGGCTCAGCGGGAGAATACCGTTGAAGCTAGAACGAAAAGCTTGAAGTAAGACGAGCGCTGAACAGAAGTCAAAAACAATAGCGTTTCCCCACACTCTGTTAGAGGTTTGAGTCTGAAGCGCAGGCCATGCTACAGAGGGCCACATATAACGGATAGTCTGGAATCACGAGTCACTTCTTGAACGTTTGGCGCAGTCATCTCAAAAGCCTTTTGCATAACAAACAATTAGCCGGCCTTGACCATATGTGTATGATTGTTTATTGGAAAAGAAGATAATTTCTTCACAAGCTTGCTGCGCAAGGTAGGCAAGAAAATTTTCAGGGCAATTTCCAGCACAAAATGGATAATTGAATTCCGAAAGATTTACTACATCGACATCTTAACAAAGTTGGTGAAATCTAAGAGAAATTTCAAAAGCTTCTGAAACTTGTTCAAATGGTGAGTACAGACTGTAACTCAACTCATGTATTAGAACTGAATAAAAATTAACGACATAAAGGTTCTGGAGCACGAAGGACCGTATTATGTGTTCGCGTTATATAGCACTATCTGACTTGATGTGGCGCTGGCGATCCGGATTATTCTGAACAGGTTTCAGATGGAGTTCCTTCAAGCCGGATTATAGCCCAGATTTTGCTTGATCGAATGCAATAATTCAGATCGATTCAACGCGGCAAGCTGTTCACACAAGAGGCAAAAGTCCCAAAATGACTCTCTATGAACAGATAGCCCCCATCGAAGCCACTTTCGCTTGCCGATTAATTTTTCTGTTGCCTGCTCGGTCGAGGGAAGCTATGCGAAAGAAAAATTATATATATAGGAACAAAACGATTATAGTTACTCGACCTGACAGTTGAACGAACAGAACGACATGCAGCATTCTTACTTACGTATATTTTTATCTGTTTCCCGTACACGAGCAGTAACACATATCAACGGTCAGTCAAGCCTGCTACTCTATCCTGGTTCTACCATTAATTGTATCCCTTTTAACGATTCAGGCATGACGCTTTATGCATGCTATAACCAATATTTTGTTTCGATTCTTCAATTATCCTAACTTACATTCTTCCGCTACTTCGTAGCTATGTTGTACTACCTTTTTGTCTCCGGGACAACGCTGTATATAACGTGCTTATCTGGTAAACAGGTTAGAATCCGAAAAGAAACGCAGTGTGGTCCGGAAGCAAACGGCTGGTCCGCGCTGTAACGGGCCAACCATCTCAAGTAAAACCTAACGGCCCAAGTGCTGCACGTGAAATACGAAAAACATTCGCATAGTACGTGCTATTCCCCTTCTAATAAGATCTTCCCCGTGATAAGTGTTACTAGGACCACAGTTACTTAACTTGCTCAGGCATTAACGTTTCATTAGGCCGTTAGCCATATTAGGCCCTTCGATAAATTAAGCATACAAATAATGCGAGAACTTTCATACTTTGTAGAGATCCTTGACCTTTTTTGGCAGAAACCCCTTTCTTGGACAACAAGAAAAAATGTAAATAATCGATTTTTTGAAAATTTTAGTCTGTGTCCGCTTGCGTAGAAGCCAAAGGACTAAGTAACTTTATGATACTATGCATATAAAAATGGTTTGACGTATCCTCTGAGTTAGTTTTTACCTAAAAAGAGTAATAACAGATTGAGCTTCTCTAGTGTGTATAGGTTAGGCAATTCTCGGGTAGCATGCTTGTCAAGTTAAGCAAGACAAAACGAAGCTGCCATAGCAAGTGGTAACATTTAGCCATATCATCTGGGCAAAAATCACAAGCCGCCACTGTGTAATCATTCTCGAAGGCTAAATGCAACAATACTATTTGTTAGTATGGGGCATTTAATTCAGAGTCGGCGTCCTGAAGTAACTGTTCATCATTAAATACTTAGCCGCATGGTATAACCGCGTAAGTAAGAAGAAGATAAGCCGCAGTAAATTGCATTAACTTTTGTCGCGAATGGTTTACTTTTCATATTGCTCTACGAAGTTGAGGCCGTTGAAGTTGAGGAGGAAATTATATAATAGTGCCTTATGTTGAGCCATTAATATGATCATATGCCCTTTCTATGGGTATCATCGACATAGAACAAGTAACTTTGCTGACCTAGCATAAATTCGTATCTACTTGGTACATTTCGTATTATATTGCATTATATTGTAACGAAATCAAAAACATTGTTATATTTATTATGAGCTCGATGGTCCTAATCTCAACCATTTCAGACGGCGTGCTTCATTTCGACGAAGAAGCTTAAGGCCCCACCTCCCTAGTCCCTGCTGCTGCCGCGATACTGGCATAATTCTCGCGCGCACAAAGCGATACGCCTGAGAGGAATCCGGTTAAATGTGGCGATCTAGCATTCAGCCTTTCCCATAAAGCTTCGGAAACTGTACGTCTTCCTTGGCCATGAAGCCAAAGTTTGCTCCTGAACACCGGCGTCGCCATCTTGTCTACGCTACGGCACCAAATATGTTCGAACATAGCTCTGTACGAGAACGAGCTTACCTGTCACTGGAGATGCACGCGTTCCCCAGAAGCGGATCACTGGTGATGTCGATCACATAGTACGAGGAAAAGCTAGAGTGGAGAACCAAGCCAAACAGTGACTTGACCGCTCAGACTCTGTCGGAAGAAATTTCTAGGAGCGGGTGAGATCTGTAATGTTGTAGCCGGGAATGGAATCTGCACCGTCTTAGACGGTGCTCTTCGATATCAGTTGAAGAATTTCTGCTGTATGTCAGGAGTGTATTATGACTTTAATGAAGGTAAAAGAGGTTCAATAGGGCCTACCCCGTGAAGGGATACTGCTATACATGGCTAAGGCGTGCAAGTTGCTGGTTTATGGCCTTATGGTTCATCAGTTGGGCCTATTTGTTAGCGATAAAAAATTGTTCCTTTGGCGCAAAGTGTAGTTTGGGTATAAGTGTCAATTTGAAAACACGCATTATCTGCATCTCTGATATATGGCAAGCATTGGCTTTGCCTCTTCATGGAGCACTTGTAGTCTTTGTCGGCTCCATTCAACTCGAAATGTTGAAAGTTATTATTATTCAAGCACGTTAGGGTCGAGGTACTAGATCCTTTATTTTGGTTTGTGATCTAATAATTTACTGCAATAATATCTTAGTCTCCATCTTAGAAGTAGCAACAAATTTGACTCCGGCCGTGTCCAAACGTGTTCATCGATATTGGCACTTATCATCGTGGGGTCAGCTAAATCCTTTTAAGAGAGTTAGCATCCTGCCAGAAAGATCGCCACGTATGCAGATGCCCTGTAATATACTGCAGCACCAGCTTCCATACCTATTCGTGTTGGAGCTTATTGAAAAAATAGTTAAGGCACAGAAAGTAATGGCGATGAAACACAGCTATGGAGGAAGCGCCTGCGGGGAACGATGCGCTCGAAATAACGCA